CAATGTTTTTATTTGTTTAAGCATCATAGAGAGATTACAATATTTTCTTTTTCTTTTATTGATTAGATCGACAAATATGTATAGCGGTCGATAAATGACACATACATTATATTAAGGATTTAAAAGTGTAAAAAGATATATAAATAAATTAAAATTTTGTCTAATAGCGTCTCCGTAACAATGACGCACCTTTTTTTATCGTCCATCTAGCTGTGTCTCAATTCATAGCCAGATATGGAGAAGATGTATTTAAACTTTCCAATCAAAATGCCTTTCCTCTTACCTACTTCAATGAATAAACCGCAAATATTTAAAAACCGAAAAGGCGTATTTTCGATTTAATTGGATGAATCACATGCCCTGCAACATAAACTTCCCACATATTTTGAGTCGTCTTCTCTAATTATTCAAACATTATTTATGCGCTCTTTTTAATATTTCTTTCAAGTTTAAATAAGTATTAAGTTTTCTCAGCTTCAGGCATAATTTAAAACAAAAAGTTTGTGGAACACGGCACCGTTTTTGACGGTCGAGTGTCGTCAACAGTTGCTCTGGGTAGCGAGAGACAAAACTTTATATAAAAGTAAATATTTTATTAAATCGAAGTGCTAGACAAAAGTTCTCCTTAGTGGATAAACATTTTTCGTAGAAATTTTCCACCCACTCACGTTAGTCAACGACTAAAACTGTATGTATGTCATGAAATATATATTGCGAGCTCTTGATGGAACCCCTCATGGAGGCACGTCCTACTGATTTGGAAAGTCCCGCTCATATGTACGAGTATTACAAGAAAAGCAGATAACGTGAAAACTTGTCAAATAACAAATATGTCCTTAAAGGGCCTTATACTCCGCCACCTAGCTCCCCAATAAATTAATATGCTGACCTCACACAGCTGCTTCCGCTGCCACACACTTTCAATCTTCCATCAAGCACATTATCTGTAAAGCGAAATCTCTACACATTTGCACTTCAATGCTCTGCCAAAAATTAAAACCCAACACACATAGCTCTGCAAACATACGAGCACGGGTATTACAAATGCCCGCCGAGTGCCAAAGTCCTTTCATATCGACCACATTGCGGTGGTGCTGGCAGTGTCAGCGGCGGCCACCAAATGCCAGTCACATTCAATGCGGCACCAGCTGCTGCCACGCGCCCAACCCCGCGTCTGTGGCAGTGGCGCGGGTATACTTGTACAACCAACTGAATTCTAATAATTTTAAACAAAAACAAACTTCACTCATGCCCATGCACATTCTGCAATATTACAAAAATTACACCGAACACATTCGCCACGAGTTTTTTGTTTAGGAAATTCGTTTCGAAATTTCACGCCACCGTCTGTGACGAAATTTTTGAACAAAAGCGCGGGCCAAGGAACAAGTGCAGCAACAGCAGCAGGAGCAGCAACAGCAGCAGGAGCAGCCGCATCAAATGACACCCCCATATGACGAGCAGGACTACAGACGGGCAGGATGTACAGGACGCGAGCGACCCTTCATGTACCGCAAATGAAAAGGTTGCAACACGAAACCGCCGAGCGACCGAAAACTCTCCAGCCCGCTTGCCACTGTTGCCACTTTTAATCAGCGCCCGCCACAACGACAGCAAGGACGACGACCAGAAGGACTCTGCAGCTATTTACGTGTTCTGCGTGCGCGTTCCAAGCTCTCTGTCTCTTGTCGCTGCCCCTTTACTCATCCGCCTGGTCTCTGTGCTCGGGGGCCGTGCAACGGCATTAAAATTCAGCCAAATACAAAATGAAAATTTCTATACTGGGATTTGCGTTAGTTTTTTACATGCTGGTGGGTTGGTGGGTTTTTAGAGTCTCCAGCGTCGTCGCCGTGGAATTAAATGAATGAATGCATGAATTCCAAAGCAATTTTTATGTTGACATTGAGTAATGTTGGCGTTTGGCTGGCTGGGTTCTGGATGCTGGGTGCCTTCACTGTTTGACTGGGTGGTGGTGCTCGGGTTTTTCGGTGGGTGGTTGTTTGGCCTGGCATTTTCATATCATTTTCGAATATTACATGCGGATTAGCATTTCCTCATTGGGATTGCAACAAAACGTGCCCATCGTTGTTCGATGTCTGGGTGGCAAAAGAGGGTGGCTCTTCTGTATGCGGGTGGGTGGTTGCTTAATGGATGGGTGGATTTGGGGCGGTGGTCGGATTATAAGTTTGGTGAAAAGGTACCTTCGCCTGTGAAAGCTCATTACATATTTTTGCCTGAAAGTATGTTACAAAAATGTTGCTGAAAATGAACAACAAATATAAATATACTTAAGCAGAGTCTTAAATAAGTTTTAAGTGAGCTTCCTGTTAGTGATCTATCACAGACAATATTTTTAAAAATATATGAATTTTCTCAACATAAAGACAGGTACAGGAATTGCCATTAAGCTGAATTTATGAATGCGTCAAAATTGTTTAAACATAAGTATCTAAGAACACATAAAAACAAAGAAATCGCAATTATAAATCCAAAATAAGTTTATTACTTACCAACTTATATATGTACTCGTATCTTCCTTAAAAACAAGAATGAGAAACTTTAAATTTTAATATTTTAATATTTTAAATAGTTTAAAATTTCACCAACTTAATCTGCCAAGGTGGTACCAATACCAGAAATTTAGTTTAATAAATTGTAAATAAGTTTTATAAAAAAAAATACAAAATAGTTTGAAAAGTACATATGTATTTCAAAAATGCCCGCGTGCATCAGTATATAAATATATAAATTTTATTATCAAAATGGTAAATCACCCATAATCAATCAAATAAAAAACAAAAAATTGCATTCCAAGAATGGTTTCATTCTTTGAGCTAACAATTTTTTGTTTTGCAGTGGCTATGTTTAAATGAGCAGAATGATCGCCCCAAGTTTTATAGGGAAATACTGCACCTTCTTTCACTTATATATCATTAACAATGTAATATCATTCAGTGCAATAAACATGGACTTAATTCTCGATATTTTCAAAACACTCAGTAAGCTGATACTGAATAGTACAGTATTCCAACCCTTTTCGTTTAAATAACTATGGCACAGAAATTTAAATTTCGATAATCCTTTAATAACAAAGCCGCTTGTGGACCTAAGCTCGCCTCCAGTTATCCTAAATCTTCAGCTGATGGGTGCTGGGTAAACACACACTCCGCCTCGGGGTCTCAACGTGGCAGCGACGTCATAACTCACTTGACAACGGAAATATTTATGAGCTAATCATTTTTAATTACAACAAAGCCAAACTTTGCTCACAAATCTAATCATATGCCGAAAAATAATTACACAAGCCCGGGGGTACGTTAAACAAAAACTCGACTAAAATAAAAATCAATTTCATACAATTTCCCCCCCAACGAAACGAGGCACGTGCCAAACAACAACAGCACCAACGACGACAAAGTTCTAGTACACATTTCTAACACTTCAAGCCAAAAAATTTCATAATGAGAGGTGAGGGGGAGCCCCGGCCTGCGGCATCGCTAGAGCCGTGGACGAGGCAAGGGAGAGTCAATTACAAAAAGGAAGCGTTGCACGGCGACCGAAAATGTTGGCGCTCGTTGCAAGGAAATGAGCCAACAACAAACAAATCGGGCCACAATGACGTCGTCAATGGTTAGACATGCCAAAGGAAGCTGTTATAGTTGCTCTTTATTTATCTAGCGTCGGTAATCGGCAGCCAAAAGCTGTAGTCCTGACATGTGTCAGGCATCTTGATAAGCGCAGTCGATGATGGCGAAGCGTGGCACAAATACCCTAATCAGGCCTTCGGATAGACACTCTCTGAAATGCGTTTTTAATAAAGTGTCAGTTTATAATAAAATTTTCAGTGAATTAGACAGTGCTGATGCTAAGATGATGATGATGATGATGATGATTAGGACGGTGTAGGGGGATGGCGAAGTGGGGCCTTTTCTTGGTTGCCACTCTGACACATGTCATGCAATGCGCGTTGAAAGTTTTAGTTAGGTGCCAGACATTGACTTTTCCAAGTTGGTGTGAAATTTGGCAGCTCGTTACAGTTCTCAGCTATGCTATGCGGAGAGGCCACGAATAGCAACCCTAATCATGTGGCAGCTTGTTAAATGTGAGTGTAAAGGGAAAATTGAAAAACAAGTTCGTTGCCAGTCAAAGAGTTTGAAAGGCTGTTGATTCTAGAAGTTCAAAAACTTTTCAAGCAACTGGAATAACTTCCAAATAAGAAAATGACAACAAATAGAAACAACTAAGAAAAAATAAACAAAAATTTATAGAATATAACAGAAAATGCTATCTAAATACGTTGAAAACCTATGATTTTAAAACAAAAACCTTCATTAAACATTAAACTATTTACTAATAAAATATTGATACTAACTTAACCAAATGGGAATGATGATTTTAGCTGTTGCTTAAAAAACTATTCTACATAGAAATAGAATAAAAAAGCAACTCATTAAACATAGAAATATTTACTAATAGAATATTGATCCTAACTTAACCAAATGGAGATGAGGATTTGAAAAAAGAATGCTTAATAGAATTTTCTAAATTAGTTTTTACCATTTATAGTAAAAGAATAGAAAAAAGCAAGCGCTTTCAATCTATGGTGCCTTTTCATTATTCAGAATACGGAAATATTATAGTAAATGATGTCCAGAAAAATATTGAATTTTCAGAAATCAGATTAAGGAAGATATAAGAATGATCTTCTAGAACTAAAATTAAATTCGTATCCAAATAATGGAAGTTACGTTTGAAGTAGTTCAAGTTTAAATATTCCGGAATTTATATGTTCTTCAATTTGTAAATTTCAATGCAGGGCTAAACAGATGTGTATGTTCCTTTGTAATGCTTTTTTTTTATTATTCGTTATACTCGTACACTGCATTGTTTTAACAATATTGTTTACATATCGAACACAAGTGTCTCAAAGCGCTGTCATGACATAAATATGAATTAAAGAGCCAGCTGCCTGTTAAACGATATTCAAAATGCGTTTACAGCTCATATTGGGAGTATTCCTTTTTATTTGCTGTCTAACCATCAATGGACAGAGGATGACTTGCCAGAGGTGGAAGGACCGCTGCGAAGTCTGCATTCGTCGCCTAAATGATCCCTCAAATAATATGACCCTGTTCAACGATAAATGTCGGGAAAAGCTCCTGCTGCGTTGGGAGTGGCAGAATCTGAATCGTTGTGACTTGCAGTATGTCGCTTGCCGAGGTAAGCATTTTAATATATGTACTATATGTACCAGCGACTAAATACATCTAAATTCTGCTTTATTTTAGCAAATCACGAGAGCCTTAACTGCAGAGAAATTGCATACTTAACGCGAATGCCTAGGCTGGAGCGGAATAAGCAGCGATTAAAGCATATTCCCAGATACACAGCAGAACCATTTTAATGTTTGTACAAAAGAGTAAACAATAATAAAATAGGCAATAAAGGTGTGTGCTTAGTTATGAGTCAGTTCTGTCTACAATAATGCAATACAAAAATGGCTTCTGAATTATGAATGTGTGTGAGATATTCTTAATCTCACAAAAACTGGGCTACAATAAGCCGATCAGCAAATTTCTTAATAAAAAAATAAAAAATAAAAATAATAAAAACAATTTATATCAAACTTACAAATTAATGAACTTTTTATAAATACTTTTGAAAGTAGAAACCAATTATCAAACGGAATAAAAACGAATTTAGACGCAACGGCATTTTAACTTTAGATTTGAAGACTTGATGGAATTATTATTTTTCTAAGTATAGGAACTGAGTCCGAGTTTTCTTGTCGCACTATAAGGGTAACTCATGTATATACTTTGTTTCATTCCCATTGATTAAAGTAGTTTAGGAAACCAAGTGACACTTTATGCATATTGCCTTTCAAGATTGTGTAAGCTATGAAAACTTGTTAAAACTGACAGTATACTATAGTATTAAAAAAATACGAATTAGGTTAAGGACATTCCTCGTTCTTCTAAATTATTTAAACAGTTTATTTATTTATTAGTTATTATGTCGGCAAAAATTACAATGAACAATATGTTATATTTTCAAGTGAAAAGTTAAGTAAAAATCAAACAGAAGTAAAATAATGCCTTTAACGCCTCGGACACATGGGGAAATTTTTGGCAGAATTAAAAATAATAGCTTATAACTAAAGATTAAAGATTAAAATCTTCCACCAAGGTGGTCAAAACTTTATTGCTAGTCTGACCAGCTAACTATGCGAGTTTTGAAATTACATAAGATAAATTGAAATTAATCATTAAGACTTATCAGCTCCTAAAGAGAATCTACACGAAAGACCGTCTTAATAATGAAAAATTAAAATGCAAAAGCAGAAAAAGTGAAATGTTCAAATATTGTTTATATTTTTATAAGCAACGAAAAATTCAATCAAAAATTTAATTACGCACTACACTGGCGACATTCGGGCAGGTTAGATTGGTGCAGCGTAGAAGGGTTACTGAAAATTCAAACGTAATTATAATAAAGTAATTACTATTAATTATTTTTAGAACTTACACACGCAGCCGGCGGTTACCAGCTGACAGCGAGTTATATCTCTCCATCTTCCGGAGAGCTCCCGGCGACAGTACTGGTTATAGAGATTGGTGGTCTCGTCCCGCTGGCCCGTGGCCCTTTCATGCCGCAGACACTCACGATTTAGGCGCTCACAAAACTCACGGTCCTCACGCGATTGCGCGTGCACATGCAGCAGACATAGGGAACAAATAACTGAGCAAATCATAAAAGTCATGAAATATGGATGATAATTGTTAAGCTTACCGAAGAGCAAAAGGAATTTGAACATTTTTAAAGCTCCTTCACTTGAATGCCAGCAAAGATATACAAATCTGTAAAGCGATTTTCATATATATACAGCATTTATATAAGCAGCTTGGAAAGTCATTTCTGCCAGCTGTGTACAAATATTATTGACGACCTCTTTAAAAATGCAAAAGCCGAGAGTTTTGATGTGTGTCGATTGAACATCTGTCGCTTTGCAATCAATTATTTACTCAAAAGTGTAAACGCACTGCTGGCCTACATTTCATTGTTCATTGGTGCTTTTGTTTTTAAAAGCCAGACGTTTTTATAAAACCTATACTTGCTCCTATTTTGCATTTATATAAATGTGGGTTAAACCTCAAATAGCAAAAGTTTCCCAAGCATCATGCATTGGCAAGCCTTGCTGGCCGTTCTTCTGCTCACCTGTTTCCTGACCCTGGAGGCCCAGGATCTAAACTGCCGTAGACTGAAGCAGCGATGCGACGCCTGCATCCGCCGCCTCAACGATACCAAAAACGATATGGGAATTCTAAACAATGAGTGCCGCGATAGGCTCCGACGCTCCTTTCTCTGGCGGGATAGGAACCGCTGCGACATACAGGACATTGCATGCAGAGGTTAGTTGGAAAGGCAGGTACTTCTTAATCAAAGTATTTACATACGAGTATTATCTTTATGCAGCAAACAATCGACGTTTGAATTGTCGGGACATTGCTCTCTTGAGTGGCATGCGAAGACTTGAAGGTGCCTAATTGAATGGAAAAATTGGCTCACTGCTTCCGATAATATTAGTTCATGAGCAATTCAAAGCAATTTCAAAAACAAAATTAATAACAAATTAGATTACACAGACCCGTATTGACCAAAACTTATAAAATTTGTATCTAAGGACTTAACAAAAGGCAGTTGAGTGTGCAAATAAATAAAGATGTGAGTGGATTTGGCACTACATTGTATTTAGTTTACTTATTTTAAAATATACATTATAGTTTGAAATCAATTTTCTATTTAAAAAACTTCCCATTTAGCCAAAGTTTTAATAAACTTAACTACTTGTAAGCACTTGCTGTAATGCCACAAAATTATTTAGTTAGGAGTATAACTTTTTTGCTTATAAATATATCCTAAGTCCGTACAGTATAGAGAAGTCAGTTTCCTTCTGCTAGTTTTGTATTGCTTAGGTTTTTATTATCATCTATTGATTCATTTATTGGCTCCATACTAATATTTAAGCAATAGTAATAAAAAAGCATTGAGCTTGGTTTACTCTAATTTTAAGTATTAGTGTTGGCATAATTTAAAAAATCATGTTCCTTAAACTAGCAAATATATTTTATATGTGAGGCACTGTCGATTTCCTTAATCTGAGAGCAGCAGATCCGAACTTGACTTGAAATTTGGTAACAACATTAAACAGCATCAGAATATTATGAGAAATTTCTAGAAAGTTTCAGAGAGTTTCAGTTCCATGTAATAGTAATAAGATCAATGCAATGAATTATAAATTTGGGGCGAATTCATATTGCTTCTTTCTTTAAATGGTATTATTCCCAAAACATATTTAATTTGCTTTCAGTTCACAGCTGCACAGCTGTATTATGAACTCATTGCAATATACAAGTATGTATAGTATGTATGTCTTTGCCAACTTGGCAGCTTTATATAAAACTGACTGTTCGATCCGTAGCCTTCAGCCCAAAATGCATTTGCAAAGCGTACTGATCGTACTCCTGGCAATCTGTTGTCTCTTCGCCAGCGCCCAGCGCTTGAATTGCCGAAGTTATAGGGAGCGTTGTCTGGCATGTAATCGAGATCGCCGGGATCCAATTTTTACCCTACCAGTACTGAACAGGGAATGCCGTCAGAGGGTCGGACGGCGTTGGGTTTGGACCAACCAGAATGTTTGTGATTTGCAGGAAATCTCCTGTCGGGGTAAGTTAATCATAACATGGATTTGAATGTTCTCTCAAGAATGTATCTATTGCAGCACATGAGAGGAAATTGGATTGCGAAGACCTCGCCGAATTGGCTGGCATGCAAAGGCGATTGCCTTAAAATACAATATTGTATAACACCAAGATGGATTTAATAATAATAAAAAAAGTAAACATCTCATATTGCTCTTAATTCCAATTGCACATACATACGAGTGAGTGTCTGTCGTTCTGTCTGGATGTGTGAGTGTGTTGAAGTGCTTTTTAAATACTTGTAACGGTTTAAGCTTTTACACACTCACATCCGAGGCAGGCCCTCGAGTGGCAACGTCATGAACATGATTATGTACTTTATGAAATGGGCAGGCAACAGCGCTAAGACCAAATCATTTTCACAGACTACAAACTTGCTTATATAACACCACTTATATTTGAAATTGAAAATCTTTTGCCTGCTCTTGAGAAATGCTGCCAACGTCGTCGACTGCATCATCGTCGTCGGCGCTCCCTTCTCCTTCTCCTCCTCCTCCATATCCACATCCACATCCACCTCCACCGAAGCATGATGGTCAACTTTATAAAACTCTTGACCATTTTCCAAGCGCCCACCACTTTTGAAATGTCCGACCAGCTGACGACCGGCAAACCAGTTCCGTTTTGGCTAAAAATGCATTGCACTTGACTTTAGCGCCACTTGTAAGTGTAAATTTTATTTCAGCTATTCAAGTAAGTTTGAGTGTGTGAGTGTGTGTGCGTTCATATTCACACACACACACACACACACATAGTACATATAATATATACATATATAAAGCCATACCCTTTGTCAAGTACTCAAGTGTTTTGCTTCATATTGGCGCTGGCCGTCGCTCGATGCTGTTCGGTTTTGGCTTTGGATCTTGGACATGGACATGGGCATGGACATGGGCATGGGTTCGGTGTGGTTTGGTTTGGTAAACGTCGTGTCGTTGACAGCTAAGTGGTGATAATCGCTTTTGAATTGAATTTCGAGCAAGTAAATTTTACACTCAGACAAAGTTTAAATTCAAAAGTGCAACATCCCAGAGAACTGTGCACTCAGCAGTGGTCAAGGGGCAAGCAGTCCCTTACACAGTTGGTGGCGTTGGTCGGTTTTTTGGGAGTTGCGGCCTTTGTCTTGCTGCGGTTTGTTTAGTTGGTTTTGCGGTTTTTAATTTGTGCTGAATGGACGCACAAGCCATTTAATCATAACCTCTGTTGTGAGTGCTTCGATTTGGAGACTGAGACATATATTTAGCAAGGACTGTAATCATTATAAGTGTTATTAAAAAAAATTACAAAATAATGATTATTTTTTAATATTATTAATTCGCTCACAGTTGAATGATTAATTTTGAGTTTTACTTTAAAAATTAACCAATAATCATTATTGATGAGCAAAAAAAGAAAACTTATAAAATAATAATGAATTAAAAATTAATTAATTAAAAATTTTCCCCTTGACTCACTGATTAAGGATATATATAAATTTTGTCCTTAATCCTTATGAAACAGACAAAATTTCAGCATGAGTTTTATTTTTGATCAAAAAAATAAAACTCAAAGAATAATCATTATTTTATAAGTTTTATTTTTTTGATCATCAATAATGATTATTGGTTAAAACTCAAAATTAATCATTAAATTGTGAGCGAAT